TTCAACGCCTTCACTTGCACAAAGCAGAATAATCGCGAAAACATTTTGCAAAACTGCAAGTGTCACGTAGTGATGACAAAAGGTAGCGACTGTTGTGAGGATTTCTTGCACCTTTCGTATACCGTCTACTTAAAAATGGTACAGAGTGAGAGTGAAAATAAGGCTAATACGATGTTTAATGCAAGTGGCTTTCTTTCTGCGGAACCCGAAAAAGGGCTCTGGGAAAGATTATGACGGACGTCAAAAACCTTAAATGGTCCTCCCTTTTGCAAACGAAGCAGCGCAAGCATTATCTGTGACGCAATTTTGTCGTCTTTTTCATTGTTATTTGTCGTTGATGAACGATGGCGTGGTGTTAAATGGTTAGGGTCAGGGTTAGCCGAAGGCTTGCGCAGTTGTAATAAAACAGTCATTTCTTTGGGATTTGTCGATTGCGCAGGTTCAATTCCCCGCAGTGGTCTGAAGTTCCTTTGACTAGACTTACCCGGAACTTTTACAAGTGTAATTTACAAGTGTAGCTATTGTTTTCAGACCCTTAAACAATAGCTACACTTGTAAATTGCACTTGTAAAAGTTTTATTAAATTGCCCCCGGTCTATAACTGTTTATCACTTCATTTTCCTCTCTTAGTATGCTTGGGCTCTGTAACCTGAAGGAGACCCAAGATGCCTTTTCTTGTTTCTATTTTTTTTAATTTTCGACTTTATTCTGCTAGTGAGAACCAGCTATGCAGTTCAATATATTTTTACTTCGATTATTTTTGTCACCAGATTATAAGATAACAGAAAGAGGTCAGATGCATATTAGAAATCTGAGACAAGTGGAAGGAAAAGATCAGCAGTGCGAGAATTTTGAAATAAAAAAATTGTATTTCCAGAAAGAGATGCAAGCTGTATTCAAGATGGCGTTGAACGACTGCCTTATTGAGCTCGAGGGTTCTAAGCTCGACGATTACGCTGAAAGACAAAAATCGATACAAGAAAGATATGACATGATATGCTCATCATCAGCTTCAGAAAGCATCACAAAAACATGCCCGATCGATATTCCAAAACTGGTTCAAGACATCAAGGAGATATTTTATCACAAGAGTAAAACGGACAGGCCCAATGGCCTCAGGGGGCTGTTTGAGGAAGAAGTAGATGCATTTCGATTCAAAATTCAAGAGGCCCAAAACAACAAAAATCTTGGTCGTGTTGTGTCTGAGGTGGGCAACGTTCTCGCAAAGTTGTGTGAAAATAATAGAGGTGATCGAACCACCGCCGCCCAAATTCAAATGTGGTCTAGAAGCCTCATGACCCCCCTCATGTTAGACTTTCTGGAGCAATTTTTCAAACGTTGCCCGCAAGATTGTAGGTTGCTCAAGAGATTAAGGAACTTATCGGAAAAACAAAATGAAATAATGGATCGTTCCCTAGATGGAGACGAGCTTCTACTCAAAGATGCTTCCAACATTGCAAAGCGTTTAATGGACTTTGCCAAGTTTGAACCATCCAAACTAGTGAGATTTCAACTCAAATCGTCTGCAGGTTCTGACGTTGCCTGTAACAGTGGAATCATAGGTCACGAAAGAAACCATGACGTATTCTCTCAGGAGTTTACTATTACGAACGGACCGTCTGAAAAACTCCAAATTCATCCAATCGCGTGGACTGTTCGCTTCGACAGGCAAGCACTCGAGGAAAAGCCTGAGAGATGTGGCTGTATTCTCAGTTTTACAGGAACACGGCTTAAACTAAGTTACAATTGGCCTTCCAAGAAACTGACGGCTTCAAATGTCCAATCAGCTGGTGATTTTTACCCTTCACGAGGAGCACGTATAGGTATGATAGAGTTGTATAGCTGTAGAGTAGAGTGTTTATTGCGGGCGACAAGAGGAGACCGCAATCCTAATCTCTAGGTTGTTATCACGCGTGCGTCGCATGTATGTAGCCAGCATTCGTCTGGACTTCCACCAAGAATGAATGGAATACACATAACTCAGTTTGATCAAGCACGGTTGGACCTGATCACTCGTAATCTGATAACGCGGGTTTTGACCATCTGTCACACGAAACTTACGCTAAGCACATCGTTGGAGCAAAAGCGTTTTAATCTTCGATCGTTGTCGCCAGCACTCTGTAACCTTTGGTCATTATTAGTATATTTAACAAGTACTCCTCGAGCCAGAATAGGTGGCTTTCACGTTACGTCATCGCCCCCATGCTTGTGGACGGTAAACAAAAGATCGCTCATTAGCTCGTCTTGTTTGTCTACCAGTATTTGTTTATTTCACCATTGTTATTTGTGTCTCCCGAGATTGAATGAAAACCACCAACGGGCTAATGACTCAGAGGCCATGAGGGCGAGAGGAATAATTGTTTTGGTAAAATCCAACTAGTTGGTCAAAAATATCGAGACGAAACAACTTAAGCTAGATTGAAGCTAGACTTTAATCCTTTTTTGCCGCCAAAAAGCCGGCGCTTTTCGCTACTAGTGGGCTATAACATATAGCCTAGTAGTAGCTCAACCAATCAGAAGGCAGCATTGATAATAGACCACCAGTTGGATTTTACTAAAGTACTATTTATAGTACTTGTGCTCAAAAAACTATTATCGTCGCATAAGGCCTAGCCTCCCACGCAGACGTTCTTAGGGGTTCGTCACGCGCTCCTGCCCCACGAAAGTCTGCTGAACCGAAAGATAAATTCCTTTCCCATTGTACGCAAATATCAGCTGGAGATCACATACAGATTATCTGAGATCCAATGGGCGCTGTTGAAGTCAAAGTGTTTACAAGCCAAACACATACGTACAAGCTCTGTAGAGAGAGATACTTGACCAAAGGTTTTGCTGCGGACGAGAATCTAGGAGATAAGCGTTGGGTTTTTGTTAGGCAAAACGGTCCGTATTTTTGCGTATTCAAGTACGCGCGAGCAGTCAAACCAAAGGTCTGGAACGAGGCTGAAAACAGAGAGCGAGACGTGTGAGGCTCGCGCGCGTAAGACTCGTACGGCACGCTTCACCGATTTCTTTACTGATTTTAAGGAAAAACCGACTGTTTTGCAGTCTAGGTTTTTGTAGATTTTTCTTTGCAAAGGCTGTCGTTTGCTCGTAAAGTTGTTCTTTGGGTGATGCAACGGCGGGTTGCCTTGTAAGACTGAACAAAAGGCAAAATTATTTTTCACACGTTATTGTTTTGTAGGAAAGCCAACCTATTAATTAACGGTTTTATTCTTATCCTTGCTCACTGAATGTGTTACACTCCCCCAGGAATAGATTGGAGTTCTACGGTCAATTACATGAAACGTCAGATATTGACTGAAAACAAATTTTACGATATATCTCAATAGGTAGGGTGCATTCAGGGGTTTCAATGGTAGCCGGGTAGCGAGTAGATCTCCCCGCTTGCAACGGGCCGATTACCGGCTTGGAGCCTTCACACGAACGTCAAGTAAGACCAGATAATTTAATCTCAACTTCGAATTCTTGCCAAAAAATTTGGCAAAATAGGTTTTATGTTATAGGAACACAAAAGGAAATGAAAAAGAAAAGACATTCTGGCATCGTCCAAGCCTTCTGGCCCATGAAAGTTGAAGCAAGGTCTGCAAAACGTGTAATAAACATCGCTTCCGAAGCTACATCAAAAAAAATGTGCAAGGCACTCAGCTGAAATCGAGGGGAACTGGGACAGAGTGTGAATACTAATGGCGGCCAAAAGGCAATTATTGTTTGGGTGTTACGAAAACTAAGACCCTCGAAAACTAAGACCTAAGACCTAAGACCCGTCTTAGTTTTCGAGATGAAGAAAACTAAGACCCCGTAAAATCGAATCCGTCGAAATATAAAGTCAAATTGTAACCGAAATAGGTCTAAACTGTCAAATTATCTTCTGTCCGATCCTTTCCTCCCAGTTTTTGGTCAAATTTAACGGTAAATTCAGGAGTAATTTCGAAAACTAAGACCCCTCTTAGTTTTCGTTATTACGAAAACTAAGACCCCCAAAAAAATCAATCCGTAAAATATAAACGAAGTCGAATAACGACCGTTCAAAGACTATAAACCGTAAAACAACCAAAAACTATCATCACGACCCGCTTCTTCTCAAAATTGCGAACATATCAGTATTGAGGCTTTAAAAACAGGATGAAAGCCATAGACTACCTGTGTATAATTGTACGCTGAAAATATTCCTTTCCCTGGCGATTGGTCTATAATTTTGGTTGTTTATCTTTAAAAATCGTAAAACTGGCTTTCCACTGGAGATGGATTTTTGTCTTCGTTTCCGGCTGACATGTCGCTGCGACCCCGGCTGCGACCCTGATAGGGTTACTCCGATCGTCAAGTGCGTGGTCATTTCGGCGTTATCGGTCAAACATCACACAAAAATACCGATTTTTTCCTTTTCTGGCCAGGCTATAGCCAGAAAAATGCTTTCTTAAAAAGGGCGAAAAAAAGAGAAAAGTATATGCTACATTGCGTTTTTCAAGAGTTTATTTTAATCGTTGCCATCTCGTAGATGATGTATGGTGGCCGAAAACTGCCATTCGTCAAAAGCACATAAATTCGTTAAGTTTAGATCGAACTTTAATTATTTTGTATTGGAAATAAAGTGAAAGTACAATGTAAAAACATTTTGTTTTTTATTGAACTGGAAATAGATTCTTTTTTATCATTATTTTCAAACCAAAACAAAATATTTTTATTATGAAATGAAAATAAAAATTAAAGTGAATAAAAGCAAAAGTAAAAATAATTTGTTCACGGCCGGGAACTGCCATTCCAAACAAAAAAAAGTAAAATTAGTTTGTTCACGGCCGGGAACTGCCATTCAAAACAAAAAATGTAAAATTAGTTTGTTCACGGCCGGGAACTGCCATCTAAAACAAAAAAAAGTAAAATTAAGTTGTTCACGGCCGGGAACTGTCATTCAAAACAAAAAAAAGCAAAATTTAATTTGTTCACGGCCGGGAACTGCCATTCAAAAATTGGGGAGCGACTGGAACGCAGTGACGGGCATTATGGCGGCTTATTTTCGAAATGATGGTTGGAAAGAAGACGTCGTTCTTAAAAAAGAAATGGCTAAATACGTAAAACAGGGTTTTCAACGGAGAGAAATGTTAGATTTTTTGAAAAGGGATTTTGCCCAATATGCATGGAGCCTTCGCACTCTCGACAGACGCCTTCGTCACTTTGACATTCAGTACAATGACAAAAATGTGTCGGTGGAAGAAGTTAAAGATGTTGTAAAAAAGGAGCTTGAAGGACCAGGAAAACTGTTAGGATACAGAGCAATGCACCGAAAAGTCCGACAAGTTCATGATCTCAATGTTCCACGAGATTTAGTTCATGCGGCAAGTAAGGGTTTGCGGTGATGCGGTTTTGCTCGATTTTTGGTGCGGTTTTGCGGTGATTTTTATTTTCAGTTGCGGTATTGCGGTTTTACAAAACCAAGCGGTTTGCGGTATTTAGAATTTTTCGGGTAATTTCAATGCGGTTGCGGTTTTCTTATGTTATTATGTGCGGTATTTATACGTATTTCTGCGCGGTTTACGTATTTCTGCGCTATTCGTACCCCCCTTACGCCCCCCTCCCGAAGGGTCTGGAAGCCGGTGGACCAGTTGGCAAAAAGAAAACAAACCCCAAGGGAAGTTTTACAACGAAAGGCCCTATCTGGGTCCATTCACTAGATGGCCATGATAAACTAATGGGGTACCAAAACAGCACTTTCCCATTAGCAGTATATGGCTGCATCGATACTGCTAGTAGAAAGCTGTTATGGCTGCGGATCTGGGTCACTAACAGCGACCCCAAGGTAATTGGCCGTTGGTCGAATATGGTCGAATAGCCCATACATACATACATGGTATGAAACAAAAATTGGAATGGATTATCTTGTCCCACTACACACCTATACTTCCTGATAAATATTGTCAGGTTCCTCTCTGTAAAACGGTTTCCAACAGGAGTGAAGCCTAGTAAAAGCACAGCCCAAAAAAAAAAAGAAAGAAAGGCAAAAGAAGCAGCAAATAGGAGAAACAAAACAATATTTTGCCTTCTGTACATACTCAAACTTAGAAAGCTATTTTTAAACTTTTTTCAGTTTACTATCTGGCCAAAATAGGCAAATTTGTCTAGATTGTCATTTACAAGTTAAGCACTATGCTAGTGGGTTTGGTGTCTGATGCCAAATGGCAGTGCT